AGTGAGCTTACCATTTTTCCATGTTAACATTGATACATCACTCCCACCTTGTCTTCACATCCCATTCAAGCTCCGTCAGTTGTCCCAGTAGCATCCTTCACAGCGGAAGTGACCAGTTCAGAATCAGGCATTGTACCTCAGTCCTCCCTTTTCTTTGGAGCAAAGTCCTTGATGCCTTTGAAGGTTATTGGTCGGTTATTCTGTAGAATCCCCCCCACTCCCATTTGGTTCTTCTCTTTCCTCTTGATTCGATCTGGATTATTCATCTGTGTTTGGAACATCACTTCTCATCGCCCAGGGCTTTGATTTGCCTCATTACTAATGATGTTCACTTTGATCACTTCATCGAGGTGGCATCTGCTGAGTTTTATTGCTGTGAAGTTACTTTTTCCTTTTGGAATGAAGTTGTCTTTTGTGAGGTCGAACTTGGACACCCGTTGTAGATATCACTATGTAGTCATAATGTCTTGCTTTATTTGGTTGCTTATAATTTGTTGCTATCATTATTTGTTTAGATGCTGAAATCTTGCCCCATTTGCCCAGTGGGATTTCATTCAAGATGGACCCCATCTCCTTTTGACATTCTTCATTAATTTTTTATTTTTGGAGAGGTTTTTTTTTTTTTCTATAGGGCGCGTGCGTTCGCCTGACAGAGAGAGATGGAGAGATAGAAAGCAAGAAATCACCCCCCAGGGGGGATGGCCACACCACATGTTCACTTTGATCACTTCATCGAGGTGGCATCTGCTGAGTTTTATTGCTGTGAAGTTACTTTTTCCTTTTGGAATGAAGTTGTCTTTTGTGAGGTCGAACTTGGACACCCGTTGTAGATATCACTATGTAGTCATAATGTCTTGCTTTATTTGGTTGCTTATAATTTGTTGCTATCATTATTTGTTTAGATGCTGAAATCTTGCCCCATTTGCCCAGTGGGATTTCATTCAAGATGGACCCCATCTCCTTTTGACATTCTTCATTAATTTTTTATTTTTGGAGAGGTTTTTTTTTTTTTGCTATAGGGTGCGTACGCTCACCAGACAGACGGAGAGAGACAGAGAGACAGAAAGCGAGAAATCACCCCCCAGGGGGATGGTCACGCCGCAATCCCTTCTCCTCCATTCTCCTCTTGGGATCTTGGGCACGCACGTACACGTGCCTGGGCTGAGTTTTACGCCACCGGGTCCGGGACGCGAACCGCGGTCGACTACGTGGGAGTCCAGAGACATAGCCATTACGCTAACTGCTGGTTCCCTACATTCTTCATTATTTTTTTGAGCAGTTTTTTTTTTTTATAATTATTTATTTAATTTTATTTATTCTTTATTTTAATTTGACCTGAGAAAGGGAGAGAGAGAAAGAGAGAAAGTAAGCCACCAGGTCCGGGACTTGAACCGTGGTCAGCCATGTTGGGGTGTCCAGTGCCTTACCCACTATACCGCCTGCTGGCCCCTTGAGCAGGTTTTTACTTTCTAGCACAAGATAATCCAGACTCCTTTTATACTTCTCCTGCCCCAGTGCTGTAGTTAACCAATGGCAATTCTCCAAGGAGCCTTTTGTTTTTTTCTGGAGACTGGTATTAGAAGACCTGTGTGCTGCGCACTGTGGTACCATCGAGAAAGACGTGTTCACACCTTTAGGGAGGGGAGGTGCCTCTGTCCCAGGCCTTCTCAGTGAGAATACGGAGCTGGAGTGTGCATGTGAGCGTGCTTATGTGTGCACACACGCCACGTTTCTGTCTGTATTTTTTGGAATCCAATAGTTCACCCATACTTCTGCTTTCAATCCACACAGTTCATTCTATCCTTTCCCCTTTTTTTTATATTTGTGTATGTCTTTTCTGACAGTGAGAACAGTGGGTCTCATTGTCCTTAGAAAATCCCATTTGATCTGTCCACCTGACCTCACATAAATCTCCCTGTGCTGCCTGAACACTTCCGTGTGGAGATGTTGTCCCCACCCTTCGCGGGCTCCCTTGCTCCCTGCTGGTCCCCCCCCCCCCGGGGAGG